AAGAAAATTTAAAAAAATTTAAAAAAAAAAAAAAAAAAAAAAAAAAAAAAAAATTTAAAAAGCCCCCTTTTTCTTTTAAAGAAAATTTAAAAAAATTTAAAAAAAAAAAAAAAAAAAAAAAAAAAAAAACATTGCTGTGTGTTATTTGGTAATTATAAATCAGAGATAACACAGATCACATGTGGGGTTTCTCGAGGCTACGCAAGGCGCTTCCCACAGAGGTCAATAAACGAGAGCTTGTTGAGAATGATATTTCTGTTGAAGCCTCTTTCCACAGCTTAGCACTGAGACATGCCTGGAACCTGAACAGTCGCTCAGAGGAATCTGTGGTGTAGATACAGAATCCATTTTTAGCCTCTTTCACAGTCTCACTCCACATTCATCCTATAACTTAAAGAAATCCTCCACGTCTCCCGGTCAGCTTGGCAGCTAGTGGCCAAAATGAGGAATCAATTAAACAGTTGAATCATCATCTGGTCTGTATCATCTGCTGTAAACAATATGCTCAAAAGACGTTTGTTCACTGGTCCAAAGTAGATACGATGGTCTTGGTGATAGCTACATATTCCAATTATACAGGAAAAACACCATTCTAGGAAGCCAGAGGGGTGGGAGATTAGAAGCACTGCAATTCTTAGCACACGAGTCCATTACATTAGCCAGAAGAGTCAATTTACTCACTCCTTAATTGTCTTTTTGTTCCAGTGAGAGCAGTGGAGAAATTCTTAACAATAACTGTGTGATGGAGTACCACCAGACTACAGGCACCCTGAGCGCTCACTTCAGAAACATGGTGAGTTTGGGGGCGGGGGGGTCTTTGCTGCCTACAGTGCATCCGGGTAGCCGTCACAACGCTGTGGTTGTTACCACAAATCATTTGTTGTTACCACAGCTTACTACTTGTGATAAATTCTGTTGATTGGATTTGATTTGGAGAAACACACACCTGTCTGTATAAAGTCCCACAGCTGTCAGAGCGCAAACACAAAGCACGAGGTCGAAGGAGTCGTTTGGAGACCTCTGAGATCGGATTGTCTTGAGCCACAAATCTGGGTTTGTGCTGCTTTGAAGGTCACCAGAAAGTGAAAATATGTTATTCCAGTTATGCATCTCAAAGAGTTCAATTCTACCCTGCAATCAAATTCTAAAAATGAAGGTTATTTCTTTTAGATATGTTGAATCATAGAATTAAAGTAGAGAAACTAATATATTGATGAAAGGCATGCAAAACAGATCCACTTACATACACAGCTCGTAACCTTCTCAGGTCGGTGTCAGGACACACAGCTGCCCCGCCCTTAACCCACACACCCTACGGTGCCGTGCCCTAACAAGTGAAAACAGTTTTTGTGGAACCAGGTGGATGTACAAAATACTAGGTAGTTCGGTCTATATTAAGACATGCTAAAAATAATCTTGTGTTTACATTTTTTTTTAAATTTACCTTAAATAAAAAAACTCAACCATATTTAGTAGCTAGAATTTGGAGTAGTCATTTTCCATATGATGTTATCAGTATGTAAGGTTGAAAGACGTCTTAAATGTTTTCCACTTGTGAGCAACTTTTTAGCTCTTGGATGATTGATTTCAAAATGTCTTAAATGTCCAATTATGGGACTGTCCACGCGTCTCACGCTGCTCTACAGGTGTAACTTTAAATTTGACTAAAAACACCCTCAGTCAACAAAATCCCGTTCCAAATTCTCAAATTTGACATGGTATTGTTCAAAAAGTGAAGTGGATCAAGAGGAAAAACGATCTAAGCAACTCGCATTCCAGGAGCTATGAAAAGGCAGGGCGTAGAAAACTTCAATGATAAAGGAGTTCTCATTTGAATACTATGTAATTATAACGGCGATAGGGACTATTCATGTGCAGGGGATGAAACTGGAAGCACTGGAATTAAATGCAAAACTCAAGTTAGAAGTTATAAAATAAACACCCAAACGGAGAACCGCTTGAGACTGAATAAGCTGAGGAAGGTGGGACTCTAGTGTGGACAGCGGGACGAGACTCTGTGTTTTTTTTTTTCTTTTTTTTTAAGTGAAGTTGCTTCCAAAAAGGGCTGGAAAGTTCAAGGAAGCAGTCTGTGTTTGTGTTGGGGAGAAATAGCTCTGAAAATATGGAATCCGAAGAGATTTCAAAGAATAAAGGGCTTGCTTTCATGCTATTCAAATACTAGGATGTCATTTGATGAGCTGGAAGCCGAATTTGAACTTGGTCAGAAATATTGTACACTCGGCCTCAAAACTTTGCTGGATTAAATTAGAATAATGTTCTCATCCAACCTCGCTCTTCACCTTTGGAAAAATTCTGATAAATAAGAATGATCACACAAAGGGTATTATCCGAAAGTGTTCCAGTTTTCTATTAGCACAATCGTCTGGAAAATTCACAGAAGAGGCCGAATGCCTGGAAAAGAAAACCTTCAAACTGAAATTTCTGACAAACTCTGGGAAAAAGCTTCTGCCACAATGCAACAACAAATCAATAAAAGAACACACCGAATGTAATACAATATGTAAACGTCAATGCGTGCTTGTTAAACATGCAGAACTTCATAGATGCTACAACAATATCACACTGGACTTTTGCATGAAAAGTGAAGTGTTCCTTTACTTTCCTTTACATGGAAAGTAAAAACATATTACATTGAATCCTCAACCTTTTCTGTGTACCGAAGAGTACATTATCATGAGAATTCGTGGACCTCCTCAGATTCATGGACGAATTGTGAATCTGTGGATAAAGCGGATCTTAACATACGTTCCCCTTGAAAGAATAACACTATTCGGAATGGTACAACTCATGTTTGCGAATAAAAGAGGAAATATTATTAAGCGCAGAAGAAAGTGGATAATGATGGTGGACATTTTAATTTTCATCCTTGAGAAAATCTTCCTAGATTTGCTTTGTCAAAACGATTTTCTTTCAATACAGTTGGATTTTTTTTTTTTTATTATATATGATTATGATATACTTTTCCATATGTAGGGTACCTAATTTATTCAGACTAGCACTGTTTTGTAATTGGTATTTATTTATTTATTCTGCTGCTAAAAAAGTACAAATCAGAATCACTTTATTGTGATTGCCAGTAGACAAGCTCACAGGCTGGGAAATTGATTTGATATGATGGTGAAAAAAAATAAAATAAGAATATGAATATGAAAAATATGCAATATATAAACAGGTGCAAAGTAGCAGGTGGATGGTGTGGTTGTGTTATGCCAGAGCCTTGTTCATCAGTCTAATGGCTGAGGGAAAGAAACTGATCTCATGAGGGGAAGTTCTGGTCCAAATGGGCTGCAGCCTCCTGCCTGGTGGGGGAAAAACAAAATGTTCCCAGATTGATAGGCTGCAACGAATGCTTCTTGAAGATCTTGGTAATTTAGCATGTCCCTACTGTGTATAGTGTGCATTAACATATTTAAAATCTCATCTTTTTTGTAGTCTTTGAAAAGGATCAAGCGATCGGACAGACGTGGAGCAGAGTCAGTCACAGAAGAGAAGTTCACCATCCTGTTTGAGTCTCAGTTTAGTGTTGGAAGCAATGAGCTTGTCTTTCAAGTTAAGGTAAGGCTATACATAGACAAAAGTCAACAATAGAGTTACATTAACATTTACAGGAAAAGACTGGAATCAGTTGTTTTTTTTTTTTTTTTTTTAATTGGGGAAATCTGTTTATCCTCAACAAAATCTAAGCTTCTGATAAAACGTGCCGTGCGGTTTGCGTACGTTTCTATGTATTGTTGCTGTACGTGCACAATTTTGGTTGTGCCGACTAAATGTTGTTGTTTTTTTTTTTCTCTGAACAGACATTATCACTTCCTGTTGTGGTGATAGTTCATGGCAGTCAAGACAATAATGCCACAGCAACTGTATTGTGGGACAATGCGTTTGCAGAGGCAGTAAGTAAAATGCTTGTGTGGGATTGATTGTGTGTCTGCTTTCCAAAGTTTCTGTAGATGTGGTCGCATTTTCGAAATTCTTGTGCATTTTTAACTCTTCCAAAACGTCTATAGATAAAAAGAGGACTAAACTTTTTTTTTTAGCTTTCATTTGTGTCTTGTTACAATCTTTTCTCCTTGAAGGAAACAATAGTTCAAAGTTATAAAATAAACACCCAAATGAATAATTAAATCTATTAAATAAAATATAAACTGGAGACAAATCTCACAGATCTGAATGTGGTAGTAATACATTTTTTAAACACTAAATAGTTAAGTCTTAAAATAAAAGGTTGAGGCATCTTTTTTGTATTTAGGACCAGTAGAGTTTAAACATACATGTAGTCAGCAATTATAGAGAAATTTATGTTGGTCAAGCCTGGGATAATCAATGTGAAAGCTTGTTTTCAAGAATATTTTGTGGAGATATACAAATGTAAGAATTCATTTTTTCTGTTTACGAGGCACATGTACATTTCTTTACACTTTAATAGAAAGTAAGTTGTAAAAGCAGTTTTTCTTTTTAAACATTTACCACCTAAGTAAATACTAAGGTTATAAAGTAGCACATTAATGTAACAGAGCTTGGTGTTTAACTTTTTAATAAAGGCAGTAAAAGTCGGGTAAGAATTCCTTTCTTTCCTTTCGGTCAGAAAAACTTTCGCACATATAGTTGTGTACACATCCTGTTAATAAACATCCAGCTTTAGTCTCATTTGCTTGCATTGCTACTGGTAGTTAGCTTGTATATCATAACAGCATTTAGCAATTCCTTTCAATTTCAGATTTAGCTTATTTGCTAAGTTTGTGCACAAATTCAAGGAATTTGACTTTGTTTCCACATCTGAAATATGGTGAGGTTACTTTTGGGTTTGACTTCTTTTCAAAATCTCTGTTTTGGCTTTAGATATAAACTAGTTCTTGACCTTAACTGTTTTATGCTTAGTTTATTCTTGGTTTTCTTGAAATTTTCCTCATTAAGTTTTTTTTTACAGTTGTTGCTGTTTAAGAAAACTTCAATGTACTTGAGCATTTTTTGTCACCATTTGTGCTGATTACGTCTATATCTACAATATAATAAGCATCCATTATGCAAACATTTGGACCTGGAACCCGAATGCATAGTATGTGTAGTCGTCACTGGAACAAAGTCATTGATTAATGCGCAATTCATGATGTCGTAAGCGAAAAGCTGCTTATAAGAATGCATGTTCATTTATGTGAGTGATGTCACTGAAAGTTTTTTTTACATTTTGTTCCCATCAGGGTCGAGTGCCTTTTCTGGTGCCAGATAAGGTGCTTTGGCCTCAGCTGTGTGAAGCCATCAACATGAAGTACAAGGCAGAGGTGCAGAGCAACAAAGGGCTATCTGAGGAGAACCTGGTCTTCCTGGCTCAGAAAGCTTTCAGCAGCTCCAGCAACAATCCTGATGACTACCGGAGCATGACGATGACCTGGTCACAGTTTAACAGGGTTAGCACCAGTCTGCTTACCTCGTGATGCTCTGAGCAAACATGCAGCTTTCAAAAATAGTGTTCAGTTTATCTGTTATCGTCAGAGTTTTAGCACTTTATTTAGATGGGGCTTTTTTTAAATCCTTGAACTCATAGTACATGATGTGTTTCAACCCCAAGCTTTGCTCTTTTGACAGCTTTCGTTGTCAGTAAGAGATTCATACACTGAAATATTTCCTGTTTCATTTGTGGCATCCTCGCTGCTCTTCTCTGTGGTCAGCTTGAGTGAAAATTCTTCATCGGCAGTCAAGTCTTCATCTTAATTGTCCTGTTTGTCCACGTAGAATAATGCCGGAGGCTCTATTTACTGGCTTAAAACAGCCATTATGGGCAGAAAATGCATCTCCATTCACCATACACTCTTTCTCTTTGGCTGATCAAACCATTATGCGTCAGCCCTTTAGAAAAAAAAGTGCATGAAGGTCATACACAAACACGTGGCTATGTCCATTCATGCAATGAACATACACAGTGGAAATTATGTATCAGTGGTGGGACTCGATTAAAATTTTAACTCAAGTTAATTAATTACAGTTAATATTTTAATTGAAAACTATATATCTACAAAAAGCAACATTTTCAATTTAAAAACACATTTAGCTGCTAAATCATTGAATGAATAGGAAGGTGAGCTCAACAGCATATTTTTTTGTTTTTTGTTTTTGAACAGTTATTTACATAGTTCAACCATAAAATTGGTGCAAAGTGCTGTTGTGCCCATTCAGCTTTCAAGTATTTGAGGAACTTCTTTGAAAAAAATATTTTTTAGAAATGTGAACGGTGGGCAAACTCCTTTTTCCACAATACGCATGCAACTGCAGTTTTTTCCAGGGTCCCATAAGATTGGTTTATGAAGCCCCCATGAGCCAACAGATGCAAGTTTGTTGTCCATTGCTGCTGTTTGCGGATGTGCCTTGTGCGTCAGATTAATGGGTGTACCAGAAACATGCAAATACAAAGATTCTGGCTGGAGCCATTTTCAACAACAACAACAACAAAAATAAATAATAATCGTGTTAACATTTTTAATGCTTTAAAATATATGTAATATATATATATTTATCATAAAGTACTTGTTAAAGTCCTGTCTCTATATAATTTTCCTATAAGTGAACCAAGCTGATTTAGAGAAATGTGAAAAATAATAAATAAATCAGTCAAACTAAATCCTGCATGGTTTTTAAGAGATTTTCCCCCAATATATTTTCTGTCCACAGGAAAGCCTTCCAGGAAGGAACTTCACATTTTGGCAGTGGTTCGATGGTGTGATGGAGCTTACAAAGAAGCATCTCAAGCCTCACTGGAATGACGGGTAAGGAAGCTCCAGATTCAGTTTTAGTGTTTTGCTGTAAATCGTGGCTGATCAGACACATGAAGTAAAACACCACATGAACTTCATTCATTTCATTTTGACTTGTTTGATTTCACTTTCTAAGGCGCTAAATGTTTTCGTACATTCTCATTTTATGTTTCACATGGCAACTAGCAAAACAAAAATGACCTAAGTCAGAAATAATTTCTTTGTATTTACAAGTGTATGTACAACATTCTCTTTGTAGAGCTATTCTGGGCTTTGTGAATAAGCAGCAGGCTCAAGATATGCTGATGTCAAAACCCAATGGTACCTTTCTTCTGCGCTTCAGTGACTCTGAGATCGGAGGTATAACAATTGCGTGGGTGGCAGAAAATCCCAACAAAGCAGGTAGGATGTGCTGGATGTCACATTTGAAATTGTCTTTGGCTTTAGAAGATGCAAATGAGTCGAACACTGTGTGCATCTCTTTCAGAAATGTTATTCTTTGCACAGCTTTGAAGCTAGTGAAGTGTCAACCGCAAGAAAAAACAGGAAAACAACTTGGTATCTCAAGTTATTTGTACTGACCTCTTCAGTAAGAGTTACTTGCGTAACATTTGTCATTTCTCATAACTTTGGTGTTGTTTATTTTGGTTTTCTTTGAATCATTTCTACAGGACCCTTTGGAGCCACATTGCTTTATTCCTGTTAAACTTAATTTCTTATTTAAGAGATGCTCTTTTGTTTTACAGTTTATTTTATTTTAGGTGGAATGTCTGGAGCATTTATGTTCAGTCAGTGTCTTTCACTGCTCGGCATGCTGTGTGTGTTCACAGCTCTGAATTGTGTCAGAGCAATCACAGCTCTGTAATGTCACCCCGGATCCAAGAGGGTCATCTAATAGTTTTAAAGCTCTCTAAAGCAATCCTCCTGCAAGACTGAATAATTTGCAAATAAGCAACTCTGGTTCTAAAAATGAAATAGAGATGTGATCTTGCCATTCAGGAAATGGCTTCTTCATTTGGGGGGGAAAAAAGTGCCTTTAATCCAGCTGTGTGGGGGATTTGTGTCTTGACTGACCCCACTTTCTAAAAATCTAGACATCTGGTGTCTGGTCCAGGACTGTGGCCAAATCGTGGGTTTGGCTGCAGCAGCAAAGACATCTCTGAGGCCCCGGCTTTCCAGAATAGTCAATATCAATTATAAAGTTCAGGGGCTGTTTGAAGAAATGAGCACCACCCTTCAAAAAGACTTGTGACCTTAAGATGAAGGTGAAGTCTTTTGATATCCCCTCACCCCCAAACCTTAAATTAAATGTTAGTAACTTTCCAGGAAGGACCCAAAGGTTTACTGGCTTCCCTTGTGGTTTTGTCTGAAAGCATTATTCATTTATTGGTCAAATTAAATGAACCAATAAATTCATTTATTGGTTCAGCAGATTACAGTACTACCTACTGTAATCTACTGAAACAGATTACAGTAGGTAATCTGTTTCTGATTACCTACAAACTGGTCCCAGTTGGCAAAGTCCTAATTGGTCTGATAGATTGTTGCGCCACAGATGGTTTCATGGTGATGGAGCTTCCTGACTTCACTGTGTTTAGATCTATACAGGTACTGTCACATATTTTACCTAAAATGCAGTAACAGAATTTGAACCAGGTGAAGCAAAAACTATGTCACTAGAGGAATTCTGGGTAGAGCACATTTACAAAGAAGTCAATCAGTAATCAGACCTGGATGTGACTGGTGAAGTTAAGCCAAAAAAAAAAAAAATGTTCTCTCACAATTTAACAACAGCATCATATAGGATGCAGTTGGTTGGGATTGTTTTTTTTTTTGTTGTTGTTGTTTGTTTCTTTTTATCTTGATAGTTTGCTTTTTTATTCTTGTATTCTTAGGTTAGCTTCCTATAATAACATGTGCTTAATGATGTGTCTGTAAATAAACACCTGCTACTTTACCCAGTGATAACATTTAGTTTCTGTTCCTATAACTCCTCATCATCTGAAATTTTCCCCTTGAAAGAAATGGGAGAGTGTGATTGCTGTTATTGATAGTTGACTCTGTGTGTTTAGGTGAGCGGATGGTTTGGAATCTGATGCCCTACACAACTAAAGACTTCTCCATTCGCTCTCTGGCCGACCGGATTAGCGATCTCAATCACCTCCTGTTCCTCTATCCTGACAGACCCAAGGATGAGGTGTTTGCCAAATATTACACGCCACCCCTCTGTAAGAAACTCTGTTCAAACAAGCTCCAAAATTACTGAAGCAAGAAGAAGATTTTGCTCAAAACTGAATTTGGTTTTACAATTTCCCCAAATTTCTTTATAGCTAAAGCGGTGGATGGTTACGTGAAACCACAAATCAGACAAGTAGTGCCTGAGTAAGTATTTCCTGCCCGTGCTTTTCCTCTTATTCCTCCATTTCTGTTTTGCCTCCCTACTCTTCCTTCTCTGCCATCCACTTGCCTGTTATTATTCTGAAGCAGCATTTAGAGTTAATCACCCAGGGCCGGACCTTGAATTCAGGTTAGCCATTAGTTAGCTGTTACAGTTGGAGGAGGCTAATTAAAGATGGCGGGGGTTCCTGCATGAGCTTGTCTTCCACTCATCATATGAGTTAGGCTTGTTAGTTATGAAGCTGCACTGCCTGCCTATCTCCATGGTAGGTTTCGCAGCGCTTCAGAAAATGGACCCAAAGATATAAAAAAGCACAGGAAGCACGCTGAGAATTGTTGCTTAGGAAACCGCCGAATCAATTCTCATCAATCTTTTGTTCCAGATTTACAGTTTAATTTTGTTTTCTTTTCTTTTTTTTTATTGGGTGGCGGGGGTTTCTTTTGCAGCTTTGCTACAGCTAATCCAGACCCAGCCAGTGTAAATCCATCATATATGGATCAGGGTGCCTCTCCAGCACCTCCTAATCACTCTCACACTTATGCGATGTACCCTCCTATGTAAGTTGACAAGACCCTCAAAAATATAATCTCCTCTGTGTGGATTTCTGTTGCCTTGTCCAGGCGTGAACGGTCTCTGCTTCCCTTGACAGGGCTGACCCCGTGTTGGACGGAGACGGCGACTTTGACCTCGATGACACCATGGACGTGGCGAGGCATGTGGAGGAGCTTCTTCGAAGGCCTGTGGAGAGTCAGTGGGGTGGCCAGCAGTCCTGACCCCTGACCTCGTGACATGCAATGCAACCAAGCAAGCCCTGCCCTAACTCCTGCCCCACCTGTTGTTAACATGGTTTAATTCCATTCATCTCTCTTTTTTTTTTCCAATACCGCTAAAATGTAAAATTGTTAATAATGGCTGTCTTTTTCCTTTTCCTTTCAGTGTAAGAACATGCATGTCAGTGATTTCCTATAGTTTATTTGTGTCTCATACGTGTTTGTAAAACAGACTAGATTAAACCAACCTACAATGTTACAGTGTTGTGAAAAACAAAGGAAGAAATATTGTCCATGGAAATTGTGCATGTATTTTCAATTGATCTTAAAATCCATTTTGAAAAATATGCTACTGTATGATGTTATTTCAGAAGTTGAATGTTTTTTGTTTTTTTTTGTTTTGTTTTATATTATCTGCTTTGTAAAATTGTTATTGTTCTGCTAGTGACACTGATCTTGCCCTTTGACAAAAGAAAAACTTTAAAGAGGAGTTTTACCTTCGCTCCTGGAAAAATGATTCATTGCTTGTCAGTTATTCAGATGTCTATACACTAATGTATGGCAGAGTTGCTCTCTCTCTCTCTCTGCGCTCTGCCCCAGACTGCACACACATCAGAACACGGTACTCGCACGCAAGCTTAAGATTTATTTGTGTCCGATTTGTTCACCAGCTGCAAAGGAAAGGAGCTCACGCACCTCCCTTGCTCTCACAGGGCTATATGTCTTCTCTTTATACACAGAAATGCAAATCTAAGCATTTACCTAGCGCTGCAAGCTTGTCCTCTCAGGTCCCACTGCTCCCCTCATCGATGCTACCTCGCATTGGTCTCCTGACAGTTGTTCGTATTGGTTCCTTCACTGTTTCTGCACAGCCTGTCTCCAGTAGGTACAGTCAGTGAATTTTGTGTTCTAGTAGTTTCCTTTGACGTTTGTGAAGAAGATCCCTCGCTGCAAAAGGGGCAAACATCCGGCTGTTTTATGCTTGAAGCCACTCTCGTGAAGGTGTCCGGAGTCTTGAAGTGTCTTGCGTCTGTTTGGTTATGCCTAAATATTCTGCGTTTTCTGCGTCCTCGTTCATTTATTTTGTGTAACTGCATCATGACACTGTGGCATGTGCATGTCTCTTTGTGACAACTTGAACAAGCAAGCAGCAAGTGTTGCAAAGCAAAAAAAAAGTAAATAAATAAATAAAAGAGAAGGCTTTAAAGGTTTGCCAGACTGAAGGTCTGCTGCCATATTCAGAACCTGCAGGATGTCACTTTGCTTCTACGTTTGACTTTGGTCCTCAGAAACAGACTAATTATTGTTGTGCATCCCCCCTGTTCATTTCACATAGATCGGAATTAAGACAGTGTTGCAACCTCAGGAATAAATTGTTGCAGGACCAGTGTTTAAGCCAAAAAAGAAAACATTGTATACAAAAGATAATACATTTATTTTATATATTATATTGTTTCTGTGGCACTCCACAGTTGAATGTAACCACTTTAGATCAGACTAAAGATTCACAGACAGTTTGTGGAAATTTACGTAGAACTAGAAGTAACTCACAAACAATACAGAGCAATTAAAAATAAATATGTATTTTTTATTAGCTTCTTGATCACTATATTTAATGTTTTCCCTGATTTAATTTCTTTTTTTATTTTACTTGTCCTTTTTTTGAAGAAGAAGAAATCTCAAGCCGCAGGTGACTTTTTGACAGAACCCCAATGCCATCCTTCTCATTCTTTTTCAGATTTGTTTCACTGTAGACCGTTCATGTTTCAGTGAGATAGATGGCGCTGTGTGTTGTTTGATGTATATGTACTTTGTTTGTTGTTTGAGTTTATCACTTGGAGACTGTTCAAAGAGCCACAGCTGTTGAGTTGAGAAGAATAAAATAAAGTTTTATAAATAAATTAGTTTTGATTTTTTTTTTTCAAAACCCTTTTATTCTTAGAAAAATATATAGATAATTGAATAGGGTATGTCTCAGGTGCAAAATTGGGACAGTTTGTTACCCCAGCAATCTGCTTCTCAGTTTGGAGTCACAAATGGTTCAGTTTTTCTTTTTTTTATTGTTTCATAATTTTTTTATTATTATATTTAGCTGTGCATGAAGAAAAACCAAACTGATACACTGAGTGGAAGGCCACACAGAAAGGTCCAGATACCCAATTAGGTATACTCCTTCCTGTAATGTAACTTTGTTATCTATAAAATCCAATTAGATTTTTTTTTTCTTTTTTTTTTTTACCGGTAATTTGACAAATCACTCGCAAGACAGAAAAACATCATGAGTATAACTAGGTCCTTAAAAACTAATCAAATTATTTAAAGGGACATATTGAGTCTGCTTGAGTTTGTTGTGCACTGCAACTTTTATTTAGATTTATAAATCACAATAAAAATAAGGAGGTTGGTTTTAACCCATGAATTAACGAGTATAATCCATGTTAACATTTTTTCCTTCCTTAAAGTAATTGTCTTCTTTTTCCTTTAAACTCACCAGGACACCAAATTGGAGTCATGAGATGGACATGAATAAATTCAGGGTTGAGGTTTCTACTCTGCCTTAAAACCTACGCTAACCTTTTGTGCTTTGATTGGTCAAGCTTAATATGACGCTCCGCCCCATGCGGAAGTGGCGCAAACCTCCAACAAATAAGCATTTAGAATGGCAGAGGTAGAGAAACTCAATGCTTTACCTGAAACTTTTTTGCCTTAACCAACGCTGAGGCAAAGACGACAGGGAGAAAAATTCTCCAACGAGTCGCGGATCGGGTCTGTAAGGTTATTTGCGAGAAAAAAACCCGGAGAAATCAATGTTAAAGCCCAAGTCTTTCTCAGCCGAGGGGCACAAAGTCTCATTGGATGTGATGAGAAAATTTTGTCGGGAGCATTTTGCAGGTGCAAAAGTGGGTAAGCAATAACTTAAGAGCTTTTGCAAAAGGCTCAAAAGTAAACCTTAGCATAAAAAGGCACTTAAATGTAAATACAGCAGTTACTACAATATGTTTTCATGTTGTCATAGAGCATTGATTTTACAGACATAAAATCAAGCATACGTCACTTATTGATCTTTGATCTGACTACCAATAAGTGCGATGGCAAAAAATTGGATGCTTACTACGAGTTACCTTCGTGTAGATGGGCATGTGGTCGTTGGCGTCGATCACAGTTTCATTCAATTGGATGGAAAGTCGGCTGCAGGCCCTGATCAATTTCTTACATTACTCCAGATTCCATTTCAGTTTTGGAAATTGCTTTCCACCCTTTATACACTCTGGTAATGGCTGCCAGGATTAAATGTAACAACTAATACTAACAACTTTAGGCCATGATTTCCTATGATTTTCCTCGAAAACCTTTATGACCGCAGTGCTTCAGCAAGACAACACTGTCGGAGGTTCAGCTCGTCTGTGATAAGCGCTATATATATATAAACAGAAAAAAAAAAAAAAAAAAAAAAAAAACACCATGACATCCATACCTTGACGCTTCTGCCTCTATGTGACAGTTTTTATGTGGTTCTTCTCCAAATAGCTCAAATTTTGACGACGATTGTTTAGATCCTAAACAAACATGTCTCTAGATGCCACTCAATAATTAGAGTTTGTCTTAGAGGTCAATGGTTAAACAGTAGCAAGAGGCTGTTTCTGCCATCTGGTGGGAAAAAAGAAGCACTACATTTGTTTTTATGCGTCTGAGCCGAAGTCTAAATACCAATTAAGTTCCTCATGTCATGCCTGTGAAAGATAAGAGAATCTAATTTAAAATCAAATTCAATAAAATGTAACCGGTTCGTCATTAAACGATTTTCTTTATCAGTTTTGAAAGGTCGGGGATTTCACTGCTTGCATCAACACCATGAAACCTAATTATTTCTATTGGATATATTGCATTGCATTCCAGTCTTATCTTCAGACTTTATAATGGATGTACAGCCCACCATGTCAGAGGCTGAAATCGTGTGTTTGTTAGTGGTAGTAATGAAAGAGGAAATGGCTCCTACACAAGTTTCAGCAGAAGTTTCTTGTTTGTGTTATAAACTGACGCACATAGAAGGATTTCCTGCGGCAGAGAGTGCCACAGCATAAAATCTACCAATTTGCGCAGAAAACTTACAAGGTTTAAACGTCAAACTGCAACCAAGAAATAGTTCTAGTATTTAAAGTTTTTAAAATGTGTGCATTTTCCCCAAATTTAAATATACTCCTAAGATTACATAAAATAAAACTAAAACTGCTCAAGAATATAAATAATGACATGATAATTACAAAATACTTTATAAGCAAATATATTTATGAATTGATTTAGCATTAAGGTTAAGTTGCTGATGAAACTATCACTGACTTGTGTTCATATTATCAGATGATCATCATATAATCATCTGATGTTAAATCCTGTAATTCCCCCCGTTTTGTGTTTGGCTCACCCTGGTTGGCTTTAGAGAAAACCTGAATTGTTTTTCTAATTCCTTTTAACAACCACTAGATGTCAGTAAAGTCCATTATATAAGCTGTGACTATGCATTAAAAGTTCAGTTTGACTCAGTCTATACTGAATACTTTTCAATTTCTGTATTTAATGGCATCTGGGTGGCTTGGATCATATTCCTATGAATGAACTGTTTTTTTTTTTTGTTTTTTGTTTTTTCCTTACTGTCACTCACTTGTGTTGCTAGATAAGCATTCTTGCTGTTTACTGCCACTGGCTTCTGGAAAAAACAGATACATGTAGCTGTCATGTTCTCCAAAGTCTGATCTCAGTGAATAACAACACTTTATGTAAATTCTTGTGAGTTTAAATGAGCCACTCATGACATACAGCTTGAGGACAGCCAAGCATTGCCAAGATATCAACACATACAACTTAACTTTTTGAGATGATCAGGCCCAGATGTTTCAGATCTTTGCTACCAAGGGGACACTGTAATATGACCTTTAACTGCATTTAAAGTTTATTGTAATGATTTATCTGTGATTATCTTAGGTCATCAATTTAAAACACTGGTGCATCTTCTCACTTCTGTTACTGGCACTTCAGTGTGCAAATTTATTTGGGTGATGGAGAAAGCCTTAGATTTGATTCTAACAACTTCATTTACATACGAAACAGTCATTTACATATCCGTTATGAATGATTTTAGTCATGGTTTCAGTTCCTTTTAATCTGAAGAATAACAGGGACAGGAAGCATGCTGACAAAGCTTAAAAAGACACACCCTGTTCTCCGCAGTGATGAGAAACAGCGACTTCCGTTTCAGATATCATCTTTCAAATGTAAAATAGCTGCCTGCCTATGTGTCTTGGTCTTGTGGTTTTATTGCTGCAATCAGTATCAACGTAAACACGAAAGCTCCTACTACATTCAGTGCTTGGGGAACAACTGAAAAACACATGACTTTTTGTAAGCGGCAATAAAAATACAGCTCTGAATCATAAGCAGTTGAGGACCATCTATTTTTTTCCTCTGATCCTTCTGCATCCACTTGCTGAGGGTTCCTCAAACTTTAAATCCGTATTTTGATTGGTGAGATATGAGGAAGGACATGTCTGACCTCAGACATGTCTGACCTCAGACATGTCCTCCTAACGGATACATTTGCAGACTCCATTGATCAGAACTCAACAGAATTTGCAGCGGGATGGAGGTTGCCTTACTGTATGCAGCCATGTTTGACATCCTGCCACAGGAAACAGTAGCAAACCTCAATGGAAAAAAAGCAGGTGTTATTTGAAAAAAAAAACAAAAAAAACATTTCAGACTTGTTTATGCAGCATATTGTTTTGCTACCTTGTTTAAAATCACACGAAAAAATAACATGTTTGCTTCCTTCCATGCTTTCCAGTCCAGCTGACACTAAAGGATTATCTGGTGTAACATATCCAGTATCTGTGGTTGGATCAATCAAACACACATTTTAAAAGGATTACTGATCACACTCTATGGACTCATGTGAACTATAAGTTTGAGGCCTGTTTCATCAGTGGTCTTTCTACATTAAAGTGAGGCAGCTGGGTCGAGTGAGGAGGCTTTTAAAAGCAGAAGTTTTGCTAAATTATTTCTGAGTATGCATAATACATGACCCTGGGAGAGCACGGAGGAAAGGAGAGGCAAGCAGAGAGCAAAAGAGGGGAAAGAAAGGCGCATAAAATTGCTCCAATCTCCACGTCTATGAAAACAAAGCCTCGGTAATACATCCTGATGAGTCCTTTTCTTCTTAAACTCTTTGCAATAACATTCATTTTCTAATTTTGTTCACTTTCCCCAACCCTCTCTCATTATCCTTTCTGTACTTGAAAAGGAGCTGGACCGCACAGGTCCTCTCATGTCTTTAGGATATTATTACCCAAGGGCTGAATGTACAGAGACATCTCAATGAATTTCACCAGGTGTGAAATGAATCAAAAATATCCTTCGATATATTTTTGTCCTCTTAATTTTGGCTATGATTGCTCATAGCTAAGGAAAAGCCAAAATGTCTACATTAATTGAAAGTGGTACGAAGACTGTCAGTATGTGACTCTGTTGAGATATTAAGGAAGGTGTTTTATGTCGTTGGCTTTCGTGTAAGTGCAGAGTTTGCTGTCCAATCAGCACTCTGACGCCACAGTCAGTAAACTATTGGTACTGGTGGCACGTTGGGCAGGTGTCAGATTTATCTGGAAAAGGAAATCAATGTCTCCTTCAAGCTTATTTGAAAATGAAAGTATTAAGAATCTCCTAATAAATGGTAAGGCTGATTTTGAGTTGCCACCAAAAGACATGGGGGTCTTTGCTCCAAAAAGAAGACCTTGGACCACTGAGAAAAGTGCTGTTATTTTTCTCAGTCCAGCTTGGATAATTCTGATGTTGTTTTTGGCTCAACTTTCCAATAACAGGTCAGGTTAGCACTCTGTGAACAGTCAGCTTCTTTAGCAATGACCCTCTGTGACTAGCTCTCTTTAGCTCACCCATGTGAGATCATCCATGTAGATCATATAGAGAAATGACATTCATGGAGCTCATGCTGCACTGGACTCTGCCCAAGCATGGTGATCGTGATTTGATTTGCACTCTCAGGTTATAAATGGAGTCTCCTTATCTCAGTTTACTGCTCAAGTCACATCTAATGATGCAACATTAAGTGCCTTCCTGCCATTGTTGGGATCTTTGCTAGACTGACCACAGAAACAGAGGCAGATGCTTCGAGAATGTGTCCAGAAATGAGCCGTACGATGCGGTCTTTCTAATCTCTAAACGGTCTTTCTAATCTCTAAACGTAAATGAAAAGGACTGATAAGGCAAAGTTTACTTCTGCTATAGGTTTTGCAAATTGCCTCGCAATCAATGCATAAGAAGAACGGAAGTGGGGAGATGGAACAGCATCTTTGCATCTTTGATGAAGACTGAGGAATAATAGATGAGTAGATGTTAGTTTCCTTGGTCTATTAAGTGAACAAAAAAATGAACCGTTGATACTTTATATAGAAAGTCATATATATTTCAATTATGTCTACATAACTTTTAATCATATGTAACAGATATGTTACATAGGTTGTTTTTGCCTGTACGTACATGGAAAACCCTGTTTTTTCTATTTAGTAATGATTCATAAAAAGCCACAAAATAAATGGTTTATTGCAGGATCACTTTCTCAAAGAGAGGAATTCAGAAAAAAAAATTGAATTAAATTTGGGTAACTTCATTTAGTAGAGAAAAGTATAGAAAAGGAAGGCCTAGTGAGAGTCTAGACTTACATCTGATTGAGAGGCTGTGGCTTGAAATTCAACAGGCTGGTTTTGCTTGAAAAGTGTCCAGTGTAGCTGAATTGAAGCAATTCTGCAAAGAGGAGTGATTCAAAACTCCTCCACAGTGATGTAAAAAAGGAATGGCCAATCATCAAAAATTATTGACTGCACTTGTTCCCACCAAAGGGTAGTGGCACAATTAGTGGTCAGGTTTAGGGGGCAGTTACTTTTTCACATGGGGCCAGATAGATTGAACTTTTTTTTTTATTGTCTTAATAAAAGATCATTTGAAAGGTGCTTTTTGATCCACATTTTTAAGCAATAAAAAAACTATTAGATTTAATATTTTTCAGAACTCTAAATCACTGAGACTTTTGCAAAAGAGCAAAACATAGTGAGGAAGTAATGTGAGATTCGTTTTGTTTCTAGTAAGTCGGGAAATGTTTCCAAAAGCATTAAAAAATGATGGGGTAATAAAACCAAAATGTAAAAAGTAAAAGTAAAGACATTAAACTGACACATTTATGAGGCATTGCTATACTCCCTCTTGTGGACAAAAGGCAATACTCCAAAAAATCTGAGTTTTGTTATTGACTGGGGAAAATTGTCACTTTAAAAAATAAAAATACTGAAGTTTGTAAAAAAAAAGAAAAAAAAAGACAATTGTTTGTTCTGATTCCCCCGAAACAATCCCTTTTATATCCAATACAGAAGAGATTACGCGCGCGCGCCGGTATCAAACTGTGATTGCGCGCGCCTCGCCTCGCCTGCTGCATTTAATTGTGGGCATTCTTGCACGCGCCTGCATGGACACGAGTCAGTGCGCCTACTGCGATTGCGCTTTTTGCACAGTGTTGAATTTGTCCCGTGGATGCATATGAGAGGGGAAGCTCTCCCTATTTTTTTTTTGCAAGCGCTGCAAAAGTGTTTCAGGACTCTAGACTGTACACACAGAGGAGCCGATACAAGAGGACGTGGGTGAGGGAAACCGGTTTTTGAGGAAAGGAGGACGAAAGTGCTAGGTGACAAACAAAAGAACGGCATCTTCATACAAACAGTCTGTCAAGATTTGATCTGTTTTTTATTCTTTCTGGAGCGCAAGTCCCCCAGGGATCCAGAAGCGGAGGAGGTCTTTCTTTCTTTCTCTCTCTCTCTCTCCCTCCCTCTCTCTCGCTCCCTGTCTGTTATTATTCCAGCAGAACAGTTGATCTTGAGCAGCCCGGCTCCAGACGCTGCTGCGCGCTGCTCCGGACGACAGCTAATCGACCGCGCTCGAAGAGAAATGGGTTGTTTTTACACTGAGGGGGACGGGGCTCTGCTCTAAGTCCGGCAGATCATGTCAGGGGTACACGCTTCAGATACAGGACATTTTTTTGATCCTGCCATCAGCGCACCGCCAGCTCAGGGCGCGACCAACGCAGCGGGGATCGGCGGCGACGGGGCCGCGCTGCCGCCGACCGCTTCTCGGACGTACTTGGAGGTGTCGAGCGCTGCCCAAGGCTATGGGGCCGAAGGAGTGTACACCAATGGACGGTACAGGGACCACAGCGGCTCGCGGATCGGGAGTGGCAGCCGTGATAATTCCGCGGAGAGAAGTCAGGGAGGTGGAAACACACCTTGTGGTATAATGAAGGTTAGTGACAAAAGCTCATCTTCTTCACTGTCAGTGATTCCCAAGGTTACACGAAGGAAATCTGTTCGAAAGCAGCAAAGCAAGTCTGACATAACAGTCACCATTCCCAGATATCTATGCCTGGTTTGTCGGCGTTTCGGTGAGCTTGTTTTGATGCACCAAGAAAAAAAAAAGGGTCAATTACTGTTCAGCAACTTTCTCCAGAAGTTTATCATAGAGGAGAATGCATGAATAATTCCCAGAGCCCCAAACGGATTACGTGTAAATACTTCCACTGAACTTTTCTTTTCATATTTTTTGAATTGTGCTGCATAGTGTCAAAAACATGTACATTTAGTAGATCGTCACTGTTCTTTTTTTTTTTTCCAGAAGCAAGACGAAAACAGGAAGTTTAAATAAAGTTTTAATGTTTTTTTTTTCGTCTATAAATGATCTAGAATAAAGAATAAATCTGTTGAGTGATTTAGTCTACGGGCTGTCTAAGTTTTTAACCTGACTCTTAACTGCTGCGATGTACAGAATCTGAATCTGACGTCTTTTCAAACTTTTTACTAAATAGAACAGCGACTCCCAGCTCTGGAGCAGATGATCTTTCTCCTTTTATCCCTGTCAGTAATAGATGATTATATTATTTTTAATGGCAGCCCTGCCCTAATTAGTACTTTCATTACTAGAGGTTAATTAACTGGTCTCCCGCAAACCACTGGCAAGACACTGTCTTTTTTTTTTTCATAGTTTAAGCTCATATTATATGCTCTGCCCTGACTGTGTGCAGATCTTTGCCATATCAGCTGTAGTTTACATGGCAATTGACAGAACACGTTTTCTTTCTTTTTTTTTTTTCCTGTAATCAGGATCTGCACTCCTTATAAACCATTATATGTTCATGCTAGAATAGTTAAACCAGCTGTAGATTAACCTAATGTGGTGCAGGACATTTTCATATTATGTAATGTTTCAGCCACATATTGTTGGGATTTGATGTGATAGACCAACATAGATTAGTGAATTATTGTGAACGCTAAATAATACATGCTTATAATGTTTTTTTTTTTTTTTTTTTTTTTTTTGGGGGGGGGATAAAATATAAAATTGGGGGGGCTTTTTTTTTTAATGTCTTTTTAATTTTTAACCTTATAA